TCCTCCAGCTGGACCTGCTTCACACAGGAGGTTTGACTTGAGACCTCCGGAGGTTTCTTCCACCCTGTATTATTCTGTGTTCAAAGCCTCACTGACGACATACAGGAAAGAGAGCACCTGATTTGAAATAATAAATAATGAAGCTGATCTGATAAGGTGCTGTCGAGTGCGCAATTAAATATTGTTTTTCCTAATACCTTTTCTGTTCCTAAAAGAGAAGTATAAAAAGTTGTGACTTCTCATACATCCATTCATTTTTTACTGTTTTATACTTGCGTCCATGATCCATTGTAGTATGGTCTTTTGGATTAATCTGCTCACATCCTATGACAAAATCTTAGACATCCATGACTGAGACTTCAGAGCATTCTGCTCCTAATGAAGGTTAGGAATCTTACTGCCTTACAACAGTTTTGAAAAGCTCAGTCTCCCCTACTTTGCATTTTCAGAAATTGAACTATATCTTCTGTTCTTCCACAAAGACAAAACGGGCTTCATGTTATTATGGGTTGTTTTGCAGGCTTTGCTCATCACCCAGCCCTTCAGTTAGAATTTATTTAATCTCTGCTTTTTAAAATACTTCTATGTTTATATAGAGAGCATGAAAAGGATGTAAAGTTAGGAATTATGGAAAACTTTCTACAGAAGGTCAGTTAAGCACTGTAATAAATTGCATGAGAAGTTGAGGAATCTCTTTCATTAGAGGTTTTAAAGTACAGAGAGACAAACATCTGTCATGAAAAATGGATAATAAATGCGCAGAAAGTGAGTAAAGCTGACACGGCATTGAGGACTATAGCCTCTCAAGATCCTACCAGGACCTGTTTTCTTTGGGTGTATTATTTTCTCTTTTTTGCTTGGCTCCTCTTAATCCACTTTTTATTCCATAGCCTCTTACTCGCAGTGCCATTTTGTCTACGCTCAAGCCTTTCCTTTTTCTGTCGTCTTCATCTCTGTTATTTTTCCTTGCTTCTGAAGACACACACAGAAGAACATGTTGACTAAATATTTGTCCTACAACTAAATGAAAACAAACCAGTAAAGTTTCACATAAATGTTCACTTGCAACTTGCAAGTGGACCAAGCAGTTGAAGTTAGAAAACTATGAATTGGTGCGGCAAGGATTGAATTGGGCCTTTCACCTAGTATTAAATCGCTCAACTTTGGCAATCTTGTTGAAAAAATACTTCTTTTTTGTAAAGTGTGTTCTAAGTGTTTCAGTTACAGTTACATCTATCAGAAATAAATGCTACTTCTTTTTTGTAAAGTGTGTTCTAAGTGTTCACCCTCTGTTGCAGTCTGTCACTGTTATCATTATGAAGTAATCTGCCGTTCTTTCTGTGCTGTTATTTGGGTGCCACTGTATGAGTAATCTCATTAAAATCTCCAGGACTACTTGGATTCTGCTCAGAATGAGTAAGGGCCCGGAACTATGAATCAGGGCGGTGGGCTCAGTTTATTGGTTCTGTGTGCTGGTTTATTGTTTGCTATTTTTGTGCTTATATGTGAACATTCGCTATTACATCTCGTCATGCGAAGGGAGTCAGGTTACTTGGGTGACAGAGTGCATCACAATGGAAATCAGGGCTCCGCAGCCTACTCCTTTAATCAAAGGCATCTGTGACCGTACAGGAGCTTCCGCTGTGGACAATAGGCCTTAATTTATTGCATTAGAACACACAGAGGTATGATCCTGTAAGGGATCAGCATTCATACACTTGCACCTGAGGAGAGGTGGAAGCAAGTCAGTACCTTGCAGGACCAGGCCAATGGAGAAAAGATGCATTGCTCTCTGCAAATGATAGGACAGGAAATCTTTCTATGGTTTATGCCAAGATTACAAATTAGGGTAAATGAAATGCAAGTATCACATTCTGACTAATGTTCAAAGTTGCTGTTAGCTCACACTTGATATTTCTGTTTTCCAAGTAGAATGGGATCAAACAAAATAGTCCATTGAAACACGCATAATTTATTTTAAAATGTTTTAAGATCATGAAGAATATGTCCAAAGGAGAAGCTACAATCAATATTTCTATCACTAGCTGAGAAACTTAATAGAGCTGCTGCAACTGTAATGCTTTTGGTGCAAATATTTATCTAAGGCATATTTAAATATTTATCCAGAAAGTATCGGTATATATTTCTTTAGTCGAGCTCTTCTGGTTTTCCCCCTGAAGTAAATCCAATCTCTGTTCTACTCTGGTGTGAATGTATATAAGGAAACTTCAGTTGTGTTCTTATAGGAGGTGTTAAAAGGACCATGAAAAATGTCTGGAAAAGAGTTTAAAGTGTATTATTTTTCTTCTTTTTTTTTGATGACTTTCTATGTTTGCATGAATCACAGAGGCTGGCAAGTATTAACTGTAGAGTTCTTACCTCTACAAATGCTGGCACATACTAGCATAAGTTCAATAACAGTACGGACTTATTTCCTCTAAATGACACAGTGGGATTGAAGGGCACCTCTCCATATGCAGAAGTTCATTTTAAGCTAGGAGAAAGAATTTAGCGGTCTGAGCTTGCGACTGAATTATCTAGACTTTCTGGAACCACAGATCTGACCTCCCAGGGCTGACTGTCTGTCATTTTTAAAGCACTGTAGGTAAACTGAATACCGTGCAGTTTACTGCGGTTACCTAACATTAAATCTCCAGGTGGACAGGAATCCCATAACACTTTTCATACAAAATTTAGGAGCTTTGGGGGGAAAAAAAATCTCCATATTTTGCTTGTTGTTTTACAGTGCTCTAATCAATTTTATTCCTAGTCTGTGTTCCAGAGGTGCTATGTTATATATGTAACTGTAAATGAGTAATCATGGAGCCTTTACGTAAAATGATTTATATAAATAATTCTAAGTTCTCATTGCGGAACTTTGCATGAAGGATTTTCAAACACTGAGCTTAATTTTGCTCATTAATTAGCATGGAAACAGAGGCAGATATGGGAGTGGTGGCCCTGATACAGCTGACTAGATAGTGAGCTTCGTGCCCCAACGCAGCTTTGGTCTGCCTTATTCAAAAGTCCCATCTCTTAACTCATCTGATAAAGCCTTGGGTGTTCTTTGTCTTTAGCACACCTTTACATCTTAAAAGCCATAATATTTAATGGCCTTCGCTTTCATTGTGGATTCTTCTGAGCCACAGGGTAATAATTTCATTAGTATTTCCTTTCAATTGGCCGTTGGTTTAGGAGCAGCTATAACTATCCAGCGCAATACACCAGGAGAGCATATTTTTCTCAAGAGCTGTGACAACTTCTGATGTTGAGAAGTATAGACAAATTGTTAAATACTGAGAGTCTTCAGTGGATAAATTTCTGGCTTAAAGTCTAATGGAGTGCAACGAAGGCAAAAAAAGAAAATGCTGTGCATGTCTTTGTTTTGGTTTTGAGTTTTCAAGTTTGTAAATCACAGGATATGCAGTGTGGCATTATGTAATTGCCTAACAAAAACTATCAGATATGGGCACTTTGTTGTCATTTTTATATGCATGTATCTACCACTAAGTTTCACAATCAGTATAAACATGTGTATGACACCAGTCTTTTTCTTTTATTTTTTTTTCCTCAGGTACACTGCCCTGATAGGGATTACACTTGTGCACTGTCAGCTGCTCATTTGGAATTGGGGGAATAGTTAGCAGGATCATTGCAAGGATAAAGAGTCATTCTCAAACCACAGCAGAACTGCCTCTGCAACATTCTCTTATTTCATTATCTTTATCTTGGCTCTCACTTCTGTTTTTTCAGGTTTTGTGCTACATTTTCAAGGTTGCACTAAAAGTGTTAGTGATGGACTTCTCATATACCTTGCATGTAGCTATGATTGTGACAGAAGCACAGTTCATGTTAAAAACCACAAAGTTAACACCAATGAATTCAATAATGGGATTCTAAAGATTTTCACCAATCTGGATTTAATCACGTTACTCAAAAACTGTAATGTGTAGCCTTACCACAGGAATCCACTTGAAAAACTACTGGGTTTTTTGCCTGTATGTGGAAAGAAAGTGAAGCTAATTCAAATGTGTCTGTTTCAGATCTTGAGGTTATTTCAAAGGAAGGCTGCCATCTTCCTGTCCATGTAAATCCCCTTTATCTTCTTGAAGAGCTGCTTATTCAGTCAAGTTCAGGAGTCTGTGGCACAACTGGAACAAGAAACCAATCGCTGACTACACTGCCAGGATTTCCACCTACCTTAAGAAATACAGCTCAGAGATGATGTGGGCTATTTGGACTCCTGGCACAAATCAAAAGCTGCTTTGGGACCAGCAGGGTATATGAGAGAACAGCACCAGATCCAACAAAGAGGGTTTTAACCACCATATCAAATATTCCTATGAAGTTTTTTGATACTGGGTGTTTTTATGCTACAAGCTTAAGTACTACTGTGTCATTACTTGAGAGGAGCAATAAATCTTTCCAACGTATCGTGTCAGAAGGAGACTGTGGTGTTAAAACATTCTTGAGATCTGTTCCAGGAAGTTTCTTCTACTGGGAGATATCTCTGACTTGGAGCAGAAGGTTTTTGTCCACAGAGAATGGCCTCTTCTAGGAGAGAAGGTGGTGCCACATTCAAAATTGGCAGAGTCTCATCAAAACCAACAAGCATTGGGCCCAGGGAATGATTCCTCCACTAGCAGCATGCTCTTGGAGATCACCTGTGAACTGTGACTACAGAGAAATCAGCAAGAAAATACTGATTGCAGGTAACGTGGTTCAGCAGCCCAGGGTAAGAAAATTGTCTTCCCACAGCAGTCCAGCCATCTTCAATTTAGAAAGTCAAGATTTAAAGAGGACTGCCTAGGTAGCTCAGTAAAGCTCACAAGGATGAGGAAGAATGAAATACATACTTTTACTTAATGGGGAAGGTGGAAGTCTTCTAGGTAGGCAGCAATAAAGAACACAAGCACCACTACCAGGCACTTCACTAGAGACAATTCATAAAGCCAAGATTTACTTTACTTTGCTCAGGTGCAAAAGCTATCAGAACAAAATCAGTCAGGGACAAAAAATGGCAACACGCTGATCACATTCCCAGCTTCAGTCTCAATCCTATCATAAACCCATCTCCTATTGCAGCGACATTTTAATCCACATTTGTTTGAATTGCATTTCGGGCAAGGATAGAAGCAACCCAGGCAGTTCTTTTCCAGGCAGTCACATAAATCGATATTATTACAAAGCAGCCTGCCATGTTTGTCATATTTCTTCGTATTTCTGCAAAAGAGAAGAAAAAGCGATTCTCAGAGAATGCTTCAACATGTTCAAATACTAAACCAAACAAATGTGGAAAACATCTGTCCAGGAAGAAATATTTCCTCTTTAACAACCTCACAGCATGATGGAATACCAGCATTATATCCTAATTGCAACAGCCACTATTATTAAAAATTAAAGCGTGACAAAGAAGTAAATCAAATTTCTCTTAAGTCACACAGAAAAAGCTTGTTTTCCCAGCACAGCTTTCATGTGTAGTAAGAAATCTCCCTTCAAAATATTAATGCTTGTATTAATTTAATTTCTATTCAGTAAACAGCATACCAGCCATTTTTTAAAGTAAAATATGTAAAAAATTAGCACATCTTACTTGGGCTTATTAAAAAAATCTCGTTTCATCTGTGACATGCACGCTTTCTTTTTCTGCTCCCTAGTTTCCGGATTGAAGTCAGCTACTTGAGGTCCTGGATTTTGAAAGGCTAAGCATTTTAATTGTTTCTCAAGTTGTTGCTGTAAATAAACAACAGAAAGTTTATAATTAGTATAATTAGCACTATTTATTAGCTGCCAAATGTCCTCACTGGCTTTCAAATGACATTAATATTCTTGATAAAATAAAACAACACAGGTAAGAAAATGAAGCAAAACTCAACCTAAATTAAGATCCTATTGTTTAAAGTGTTCACTTGGCTAATTGTTGATGGAGTATTCCTTTACCAGTCATTCCCACGACCAACTATGCATCCTGACAGGAGAGGGAAGGACCACGACTCTGAATACATGACTCTGGTACAGCGGCGTGGAGTTTGAAAGTGATCTTGTGAGAGGCAGAATCATGTATTTTTTTCTCAGACTTTATCCATAATGTAAAAACAAGTCCTATGATTATAAGCATCTCACCTGGATTTGCCCTTATCTTCACTGTTGCCTCAGATGCCTAGAACCCACCTTTGTTCAAACAATCTGGGTGCAAGAGAAACGTCTGGAGGCGCAACCAGTGCAGGAAGGAAGCATTTGCACAAGTGGGCAATACAAAAAAAAGCACACAGAAAAATAAAGAAACTAAACTAAGCACAATTTTTGAGAAATAGGAGGGAGCATTTTCTTGCCTATTTTATGGAACTCATGTTAGCAATTAGCTAAAAATGCTAAACAGTTTTGGAGGTTCAAACATTGGCTCTGTGTATTACCATGCCACATAGCCCATGTATGTTGACAGTCATGTTTAAAGTCAATGCAAACAAACATGGGCATTATGGCAAACAGTTTCTCTTTGGACAATGACTGTGGGCACTGAACATACAGTTGTCATTCATTATGCAAAGGCACAAACATACATACAAATTTATCTTTTCTCCTCTTAGTTAAATGGAGCTGACTTGCCACCCCTCAGCCTCCCTGGAGGGTGTCATACCATTCAGAGTCCACAGTGATTTTTCACAAACAAGTTAGTGTCTTCACTGCTTCTCATGGGGAAAGCAGTGGCAGTTCAGTCCAATCTGCTGACACAGTGATTTAGAAACATGCATGCACTTCAGTGTACTTATCTAGAAGGTGGCTGATGCTGTGGATCTTCAGCTGCATTGTCCTGAAAACCTATAGAGCAATCTCATGCACCTACATTATTCAAACGTTTCTGCTATTGGGTCTGGGGTAGATTTTAGGTGCAGAGCATATGCTTCGGCATCGTCATTGTCTACGACCATAAATTATGCGATTTCAAGTTGAAAACAAATAATAAGCTGTGCAGATAGTCCTCCCTGTAAGAGTACTCTCCTATTTCCCTACTTCCTGTTTCATTCGAGCTTGTAAGTGCTCTTAGCCCTCTAAATTACTGCACTGCAATCTTGACTCATTTAGCTGTTGTTGATACTGATATTTCCCTGTTGAGTCCTGCTTTTTTATTTTCCTTTTTTTTTTTTTTAAGAAATTGAAGGGAACTGCAAATATCTTAATAATAAAATGGTACTGGAGAAGTCATACCGATTGTTTTTGTGTTGTTGAGCAGTCCTTAATAGCAGAGACATTTCCTTCTGCAGACATTTCCTGGGCAGAATTGCTTTTCTTGCAGTTTTCTTCCACGTGAGCACTCATTTGATCACCCTTGTGAAATATATATATACATATGTGTTAGACATATGAAGAGATCTACAGTTTTAAGTTAAGGTTTTAAGGTAAGCAGGGGATATCCATACTAGGCTTTTATACGTTCTTAACCAACACCAAATGCAGAACAAAATGTGGCTTGGTATCAGCCTCCATTTAAAAAACACATTAAAATAATACAACTGACATATGCAAAAGCTGTAAAACCAAAGCCACTCTATTATTCGTCAAGCAAACCTCAAAACATCTCTAGTGTATAAATAACACAGAAATTGAAAGAAATCTTGTCAGCTCTGACTCTGTTATTGACACCACTTCACCACATTGTCATCTTTAATGTAGCGGTGAGAACCGGTATTCTCACAGAACACCTAAGAGGCAGTCGGAGATGTGTAAGCGCAACCGAAGACCGCAAGCACGCAGGAGCAGTCATTTCTCGTGCCAGCAGGTGACACTGTTGTCCCAGCTACAGCTCTTTTTGCAAGGCTCCAAAATCGGAGCGGCCGCAGTATGTGGAGGCGGAGAGCGGGAGGGGCCTGGGCATATTCTCTGGCGTTATTCATAGGACCCAAAGAGGGTGTCAGAGCTGTGACCTTAGCAACTGCAATCCCTGCACATTGACAATTTTCTTCCTAAAGACTTCAACCAATGGACTAGAAGAAAACTTCTTGGCTTTTAAATCTCATTCTGTAGCTTAGCGGAAGATTTTATCTATAAATACAATGTGTAGCTTTTAGGTTTAATAGGAAAAAAAGCACATCACTCACTCTGCTAACAAAGCACCCAGGGAGGACCGTGGGTTCTGTGAGTCTGTCCTACAAATGCCATGCATCACCTCTCCCCGTCACACAGAAATGGTGGTGGCAACTGCTGAGGATGGATGTTCGCTACTTCTTCTTACCCATGCTGTGAAGTTACTTAGTTGAAACCTTTTATGCAATATAAGCAGTTCCAGCGCCTCAGACTTTAACCCCAAACACCACCAGAAATATTTAAGCTGTTTTGGAGTTCCTCCAGTACTTCCCCAGGTGTTGCCCACACTCTCCCACAATGGCACTGTCCACAATGGGATGCTCTACAGCAACAGTGATAGTCCTGGGACTTGAGCATCTTTTTAGGATTAGAAAAGGATAGCTATTACCAGGCAATTAGCATTTGCTGTATGGAGAAGCCTGCTTTCCTACCAGAAATTTGCAAGAGACCCACAAATAAAACAAGAATGAAGGCCACTCCTCCAGAGAAAGTAAGCATTGCTCTTCGTTTGCACTCAAGTTGGAGTCCTGATAAAGATTTGCTTCCTGCATCTCCTCTTGTGTCCAACCATGCATCCAGCATTGTTAAAGCACTTTATGAGTATGCATGACCATCATCCGTGCCTGTTTTATTACCACGTGCAGGGGTCAGGAGCAGAACAGCCATCAGCAGGTTATCAGTGTAAGCATGCAGAATTCCTGTGTATACTCTGGTGGTGTAAATATTTGCCTCCTTTGGAAACTAGGTTCTAGCAGTTGTCCAGAGCCAAACACCCAAAATCAGAAGCCTCTTTTGAAATATTGGCAGAAAAGGAACAAACATCTTGTTCCAAAAACATTTCAAATGCCCTTGCACCTCAGTGAAAATATTCTGAACAGAAAAAGCAGCACTTTTCTGTCTCTGTATGTATTGTGAAGACAAAGTGTCAAATTTTAATCTCCAGGAAAGATACTCAAAAATGAGGCAGAGTGTGACTAGGAAGCTGCAAGATTCAGAGACTGATGAGACTCACAGAACTGATTATCCTCCATAAATTGTTCTGAAGGGGAACAGGAGAATGGGGGAGGCTGTGAGACACAGACATCCACTCTCAAGTCTGCAGAACCTAGTTATCCAAAGGAAAGTATTTTTGATCCTGCAGTAGAGCTTTTTGATCTACTGTTTTTGGTCTGGCTGTAGTGATAATCCAGGGGCAGTGCACTGGACACTAGTCTCTTCCATAAAAATTTCAACTCTGAGGACAACCATCAATTGTATTCCTCCTCCACCAAAACTTGTGTTCTCCCACACTTTTGAATACAGCAAGTACTTCCTGAAGGTGATCACCCACATCTCAACATCCCACTGTGGCTGTAGCTTATGGCTGAGAACTGGTAATTTCAGCACAAACCCTTGGCACAACTGACAAGGCTAAAAGCAGATTAAGGGAGAAAGAAAATCAGAGGCCGTGTTATATTAAAAGACACTTGGTCTCATCCAGGTGACAGATGTTTCTGCTCACAGAACAGTTTCAGAAGATGTTAGGATTTGGAAGGAACCGCATTTGTTTACGATTTTCATAAGAGAAATACTTTCCTGTATCTGCTTTTTCAAAAAGTTAATATTCCTATTTATGATCCTTACAGATTGCACTGCTAAATATTTAAGCTGGTGTGAAATCTGGTGACTGGGATTCCAGATACTTCAGCCTGCTTGATCTCAGCAGCCTAAAGCTGGTAGTTTTGCAGTGCTTGCCAGAGTGAATGCACATTGTTTTATGTTGTATTTGTTCATGCTGTTGGAGACTTTCTGGCTGAGATCTGTAAGCATGTTCATTACCTTCACCACAGCAAGACAAGATGCTGTCCCTATGGCTTTAAGCACCCGATGGACACATGACTGACCCATTGCAGTAGTCCCTTCTTCCTCATTGCCTAGTTCTGCGGCAATGCCTGTGGGCTCAGAAACTAGCAGTTGGGTTTGTGGCACATTCACATATGCATCTTAAAACCTCTATATGACATCTGATGCCAGCCAAATTAAGAATGAAAATAAATTACTCTTCCTCAGGATCAACTAGGGTTTCCCTGCCCATGGCAGGGGGTTGGAACTAGGTGATCTTTGAGGTCCCTTCCAACCCTAACCATTCTATGATTCCATGATTCTAACTATGGACTGAGCTGTAAAGATGCAGAAAGGCCACTTACCAACTAGCCTGCGCCTTCTCTCATAGCTCCAAACGTGCCTATGTGTTCAGAAGATGGCCTTGAAGCCAGCCAGGAAAAACAGACCAGATGAAGAAACAGGTCTTGTCTCTTCTAACTCACCCGGTTTCCCAGAAAACTGATAAACATGGTGACAAAGCAATGGCCCATTCTGTGACAGGAGTCTGGAGGAGCAACTCTCACCCAATCCCAGTAAAATAAAACAAATCCTCATGAGTTTTCCCTCTCAATCCCAGAACCTTTCTGCCATATCTGGAAGTGAGGGATCCTTTAGCTGAACTCCAAGAGATAATTATAAAATCATGTGCATCTTCTGGTTGTCATGCAATAGGCAGAAGACATCTGCCAGACTTACCTTCTGAAAACCTGCAGTTCTGAAGGGTGTATGTTCAGAGCAGACAGCAAGACAGAAAGGAGGTTCCCCAGAATTTTGAATTGTACTTACCAAAGAAAGGTGCCGGCACAGCGTAGGTTTACTGCTGCACAATTCCTCTGACAGTGGAAGTATGACATCAGCCCCAGAGTAACTGAAACAGAAGACAAATGATCAAAATAATGCTCCCCAGAGAAGCAGGCTGAAGACAGTGCCAGGTAACTAAAAGACCTCACACTTTCTCTCTCATTAATTATGGCTTTTAAATAGTACTTAGCACAAAAAGTGGAAATAGAGAAATGATATAAACTGTGATGAGAGTCTTCATTTATTACTTGCATCTGTGGTATATTCACCGAGCAAATGCATTTCTTACAGCTTTTTTTTAAAGGAAAGTAAACAAAAAAACTGTAATAACCACTGTATTTCACAAAAATTGAGATTTTTTTTTTTTAGGACATGGATGTAGTAAAGAAATATTTTACCACTTTAGACAAAATGTTCTGGATTCTGTTCACCATCTCCCAACAGTCAAAAGTCATCAAATAAATATGGTTGCCAATAGCTAAAGTGACAATGCAACCTCACAGTTCAGCTTGCTGCCTTTCAGGATTTTTTGTTGCACTAATGGAGACAACTCAGGCTCCTCCTGATATCTCCAGATGCCAATTTCCAGCATGCTGCAATCACTTACGGCTTTCATTACTTAACTTCCCTTGAACATAGAAAACCCTAAAAAACATCCAAAACTGTCAGGTCTTATAAATTCTCCTATTGTGCTTAGACAAATAGTCCAACATGTCCTTTTATCTTCATCAGCTGTATCCATCCTTTCTCTAAGGTATTTCACAACCCAGTCTAAGGGCAAGTAAATTTATTACTTACGATACCATTTTCTTCCCCTCCAAACACTTTTAAAACCAAAAGCTGATGTAACATCCTACCAGCAGACCTTAGCTAGATGACTTAAATGCTCCTACACATACCTTCATTTTGTTCCACAGACTGTTTTCCTTGTTGTGAAAAATAAACCAGAAACCCCTCAAGGGAAAAAAAAGTCACAATCTCCAAGGTACTCATAAAACAAGACACAAACAAAAATCTACAACCTGTTTTATTCTCCTATATTTTTTCCAATGTTCTTCTGATTTCTCCGTATTCTACATAATGGAGAAAACGGGAATTATTAACTCTATAAATATAAAATCTACATAAACTACTTTATGCTTAATGTCTCATTTTCTTCCATTTTGCTAATACTTCTATTTGTATATCTTAACTTTTTCTGAATTGTTTGAGCATGAGTTATGATATTTGTTTATCATGGCACACATGATAATGCACAGCCTGCAACATAAAATAGTTTTTACTGAGTAGCTACGATTAAGTGAGGATGAACATGCAGGTTAAAATCTTAGGGGACATTTAGAGAGGTTGATTCTTGTGGTGAAATTCCTAATAGGACAAGTCTTCCCCACCAAGAGCATGTGACTGTAAATACGCCTTGGGAGATTGGATACAAATGTTTTTTTTTTTTTTTTTTTTTTTTTTCTGAGGGGGTAAAAAAGACAAGCAGAGAAATAGTTACTGATGTGTTAAATTTCTTTTAAGCCATTATCTAATGTCAAGTTGATGCTCCTTTTACACCTTAGTGCCCT